GAATCTGACGCCTTTGTGTGTCTTCAGGGAGCGAGGAACACTATTCACAGAGAATTTAGCTCCAAGGAAACGGCCTCAGCAATACTCTGAGAAAGAAGAGCGTCCTATTTCTTAAATACCATAGAGTAATCCTATGTTTTCTGTAATGCTGCTATCATGTCATCCACTGCTACCCACTCCCCTTGTTTGTGTTAACTGGGTTCAACAGATGGTGGTGTCGAGGCCTCTCGGTGCAGTTTTGGAGGCCAAAGAAATGAGGGGAAAAATGAAGTCTGGCAAGAGATGAATAATTGATGATGGATCCTTTTTTTTCTTGCTTGTTTGTTTTGTTTTTGTTTGGGTGTTTTTTTTTCCCCCACTGGGCTAACTTGACCCTCAAGTTTGGCACCAAGCCACAGCAGAGATGTGCTCAGATGAAGTCTGTGTACAAGAAAACAGCTTACAGTGCAGAGCAGTGTCTGATTGGCCTATCTTTCAGAGGAAAAGCGGATTAGAGTGGCCGCTTATGTCTGCGCATGAGTGTGTCTTTGTCTGTTAGTGTGTGTGTGTTGGCAGCAGGTGCACTCAAGCACACCTACCACGCGCTCCCGCTCCTGTGCATAAGGTTAGTAAGATTGAGAAACGAAAGGAAGGGAAGGCGCCTCTGTGACTTTAAAAATATTTTTAGTCCATCGTGCCTCAGTGGTCAGGAAAAAATTGGCACTGAAGGCGGAATTAGGCTTGTGCCAGGACGCTAATAAGGTTAAGGAAAGCTCAGTCCTAATGTACCAGAAATTAAACGTCACTTGCAAGTACACCGTCACCTGGGAGCTGCTTCACCTCATCGCACACAGACTTTGGAGAGAGAAGGCGGCGCATATTTGTGCACGGTAACACAGGTATGTAGCTCTTGCTTGCTCTTCTTAGAATAAGGACAGCAATTTGGAGGAAGTTGGGAAATTTCTAGCAGGTTTTTTTTTTAATTTCAGACAAGAATATAAGAAAGGAAAAACAGGTGTTGCACTGTATTCACAAAGGAATAAATCTACAAGGCCGTGTTTGGGCGTATTTGGTTCATTTTCTGACAGTGTAAGCCTATTCTTGTGCTTTGGAAGTTGTAGTTTAAACTTGAGTTTTGCAGTGGTGTGCAAGAGCAAAATACATATATATGTACATATCGCATTTGTTAGCTTCTTTGCTTCATACCCCAGCTGACTATTCAAATTTAATGAACACAGCCCAGTGTGTGTTATCTGGTTACCAGACTCAAGTTACACTTATGAGGCTACACAGCACGAACAAACATACCTCTCGGAGTGTCCAGAAGAGCACCTGATTCAGTGTTGAAGAGTACCTAAAGTACTACTAAAGTTTAGTTTTATTGTACTTTTAAGCTACACTTTAAGGAACTTCTACTCTAATACAGAAGGAAGTATTGTACATTTCTAGTCCAGAAAGCTATGGTTGCATTTTTGATTTAAGGTACTTCATAAAACATAAAAAAACCAAAAACAAATATATGTCTCCTTAAAGGCTAAATCAATGCTTTAGTGTATGTTTGCCTCGTGAGTGTGAACATGTCCAGTGAAGTGGTGTATTGAAATTACTTTTCATGGTCCTGGGATTGTTGGATTTCTACTTGTAATGCAGCGCTTTCAGATTGTTTTGTATTGATTCATTCTCTTAATTAACAAGATGATCTGAATACTCATTTCACTCCTCTGCAGTTTTGCTTTTTATAACAGAAGCATGCCTAAAGGGCCCTGGTAGCACTGTACTAATAAGTGTATGTGTACACTGTATGCAGGTGTGTATGTGTCTGTATAAATTGCTGGGTTTGCACATGCCTCAGAGAGTGCTTGTCCCTAGGCCTGTGTTTGATGTTGCGCCTGTACGCTGGTTTGTGTTTGTGTGTGTGACTGTCTGCCCGTCCGTCTGTCTGGGTGAATGCTTTTGCTTTGCATCACTGAATACTTCAGTCAGTGTGTTTATGTGACTATGTGGATGAGACATACACACACACACACACACGCCAGAGACGGAGGCGCATGTATGGACTGCTTCCGCCTCACAGCGTAGAGACAATCAGGGCATGCTTCGGCAGTCAGTGGAAAGAAGGGGAGGAACCGAGCAATCGCTACACCACCATCATTTATCACCGAAGACAGACACCGAAACTCACCTCTGCCTACACGTACACATTCGTTTAGGTGAGGAGGAGGGTGAGGAGGAGGAGAGGAAGCAGGAAGAAAGCAGAAAGAGGGAGACAACTATAAAAATATCCACATCTGTGAAAGCCAAAGAGGTGAAGTTAGGGTGAAGAAAGCATGTTTTTGCAGAAAGAGGTACTAAAGGCTAAGAGAAAAAGCAAAGCATTACAGGAAACAGTGAAAGTGATGGAGTAAAGCGTGGATTTGAATGCTGTAGCCAAACCAATTATGGTTAACATTTTCCTACTCTAAAATATAAGAAACAAAGAATGTGACATTTGGCCTTTTTTCCCTTCTTCTGCAACTAAATGAGATGCCTAACACACATCTTCACTTAAATGTGAAGCTACAACCAGGAGACGGTTAGCTTGGGTGTCAATAAAAACTGGAAACTGGAGGGGGGGGGGGCAGGCTATTATAGCTCACCTGGTTGTGTGGGGGAGCCATCTTTACTATCTTGCCAAAAAATAATAGCTAAACACACACCCCAAAAATAACCTTACACACTCATTGTTTTAAGAATAAGAATAAGAATAACTTTATTTATCCCGAGGGAAATTCTTTTGTCACGTACATGCTCAAAGCAGCAGAAGAGACAGAGGAACAGATGAATAAGATATACAATATATACAATAAGAATAGTAGTATACAGTAATATACAGTAGGATAGTGCAAGACATAGTATCAAATAACTCTAACGAAGTAATATATATAACTATATCCTGGAGAATAAATAACTATCAGTGCAGGCGATTCTAGAAAGTGACATAGTATTGTGCAATAGAATAAAGGGAGTAGCAGCGTATTATGGGGGGATGAAACAAATATTCAATAAGGTACTGTTGGGTACTGTTGGTGCTGTTTCTTTAATCAGCACTGAAAAAACACATTGTACAAATCATGTGCTGGACTGTTTCTTGACCTATGTTTTGAGTAACTTTCTGGAATCCTTGCTGGTTTTTAACTCTGATGAAATAACTTTTTTTCTCCATAATTTGTGTACATGTTAATATAAAAAAAACGCTAATTAAAAACTCTAAATTTGAGAGGGTGGGGGGGCTGTTTGCCCCAAATTTTGGTCTTAGACACAAGAGTGATCATCTGATCTAAAATGTCATCTATACCAAACTTTAATTAAATAATCTCTCTGAATAGATTGTATGGCAGATTTTTATCAAATATTTTTATCTAATTATTTCTATTCCAACATATTTATAGCAAAAAATCAAAAGACTGTACTCTCGTGTGTAGGCTTATGGCTTTCAATGCCTAAAAACAAAGATATCTGAAGGACAAACAAATATCATCCCACTTGCAGGGGCTGTCATGACATGTAAACAGTGGTAAAATGATGATTTGTAGTGCCACATGCTCTTATTCCTATCAATTCTATTATTAATAGAACAGGAAGAAATAGACACAAGCACTAAAGCTCTGGTCTTTGTTGTTTCTACCGCACTGTCTAGTTACCCAGTTTTTCCCTTTACCAAGCTAGTCCAGGTACTAAGGGCTTTGAACTGGGTAAAGTGAGGACACATTTCCCCCCTCAGAGCTCCACATGCAAAACAGCAAATGAGCACTTGCTGTCATATCGTGACATATCTCCTTGATGTACAGCGGAGACGACATATTTTAATATCCTACTTGCCAAATCTTGTGGCCTGCTGTGCATGTTCTCAAGACAATAGAGCTAAATACACTGTAGGTTTAATTTGCAACATGTGGGCAGGTTTAATGTAATTCTGTTTACAGCTTTGGACTGTTGTGTGTGTGTTGCTGTGGTGGTGTTATGGTGTAAAGATGCAACATACTGCTGCCTCTGCGTTGTCTTTTCATTACCCTCCTTTTATATTACGCTCATTTGATCCTGTGCTGTGTTCTTCATGATAACAACAGCAATTAAATCTTCACAAGGAGAGAGGAGATAAAGAATTCATTGCAACTTATCTGGCTTCAGTCAGTGAAACCTGATTTTCCCAGCCAGCCTTCAAATGCACATTATCATATCTGACAATATAATGTATTTTGGATTTTTTTTAAAAACTGAGAAAGAGAGATGTACAGCTGCCAACTGAGAAGGCATATGAATTACTCTTCTTGTTAGGAGTCATCTGTGGACTACTGCAGATGTCCGTTACATACTTTGTGATTGTTTTCCTCCTTATATTAGATCTATATAATTTAACTATAACTGAATGGTTAGTCCAGGTGTGGGCATTATACAGCAACATCAACAAACACTTCCAAGGAGCTCCAAATGCGTTCAGCTGTCTGATCTGTTTTACCTGCTTTAACTTGTGAGAAGCTGAACATACGACTCAAAATGAAGGCATCAGTGAACCCGCCTGTTCCATACATTATGACGAATAGGTCTCCTTTAAATCCATATTTTCCCCCGCTGGTGTCTTCGGATCACCTGTCAGAGGAGGAACATGCGCGGTGGGCATCAGAGCTGAGAGGCTGGTGGAAAACCTGCGTGAAAACGTCAAGTATCACAAAGCGGAAGTCGAATTCCGCTTCACTATAAAGGCATCCAAATGTCATAATTGAAGATGAAACGTTTAAGGATCAATTGGTTTCTTTTTTTCTTTCATTTTCATTTACGAGCCTTACTAATCCGTTTTTAACCTTCACTAGTCCAAATACGTCGTTGTGTGCTCAGTGTACGTTTTAAATGCTCAGTAAAAAACGCTTTCCTTTCCTCTTCATTTTGATTTTATTTTGTAAGACTGTACCGGAAACCAGCTTTTGTGGCTGTGAGCGGTTGTAAAAACGGAGACCCCTTTTACGGAAAACTGTGGTTAACTGTGCTGTAGCTACAGCTGCAGAGATGCGAGGGACAGAAAAACGTCGAGAAAGGAAACAGAGGGCAACACCGAAGCTGAACGTAAAGTAACCGCCGTCACAAATCATCTGAGATGTTTCGAGAAACCGAGGAGCAGCATCTTCGCAGCGCTTTCTCCCGCTGGAGATAAAAAACCGAGAAGAGGATCGCGCATTGATCCGAGAACAGGGGGACGGGAGGGGCCGATCATGGGGAACGAAGCGAGCCTTGAAGGAGGCGAGGGGCCGCCGTCTGGGCTACCCGAGGGGCTGGCACCTGACGGGAAGGGGGGCTTTTACCGGGTCTCAGACGGGACACCGGTCAACCTGAGTGAACTCAGCGAGGAGCAGAGGCGGCAGCTCTCCGCGGCGATGTCAAGGGCGCAAGGCAGGCAGCCCGGAGGCGCGGCGGCTGGACGAAGGCAGGGAATTTAAACCGCATTTATGATGCACTTCAAATACCCACACTAACCAGGCCATTTTATACGACACGGAGAGAGGATGGGCACGAGTGGATGTGTTGTGGTTGTGTGAAGCATCGTTTGGGAATCTCTGAGATGCTCTAAAGGAGGCAGAGAGCCCGATCACGCCCATTAAAAAAAAAAAAAATCATGTCAACCGCTCCAGAAATGATTCCCTTCTTAGAGCTCGCTCTTATGAATAATCACCGAGATCTGATGATCTGCATGGCTGAGAGTGATGTCTCTGTTGGCAATTAAGTCGTACAGCCATTCGCGCTTCTAACGCAGACATGCAAGTCTCATTTTAACCCAGCAAACGATTTGAGTGTATGTGTGTGTGTTCCGTATTAAGAAATATACAGTATTGGTCACTGTTTATGTGTGGTATGTGCGTAAGAGACACACCTCCAGTATTTATGCGAAATTTTCGAAATGCCTGCTGGGTAAGAAAATCTGTCGTGCCCAGTGTGTTTTTCTCCGATCGAACGATGCCTTAACACCCAGCTAAAAACAAACCCGACACCGTCAGCCGTGAATGCGCGCCCCGGTGTCGCCACTTAAACGTTTCCCCCTGAATTTCACCGAATTGGATTTTAACCGATGGTGTCGTGGAGGAGGAGTGAGGGGGGGGGGATGCTTGGTTGTGAAACTGGGGTGTAGAAACCTGCCGACGAAAACAATATGTAGATTTGGGTTTTACGTCATGTTTATCACGGTGAAAGGTTTGTGAATAAGTGTGGGATAAAATGCCAAGATTTGCCTTACTAATTGGCTCCAGCGGGAGGGGGGTATTTATATCTGAGCAGAGGCTGAGAGTGGGGGGAGGGGGCACGTCAATATTAATATGACTATAAATAGAACAGAACAGGCGTTAATGTCATCACTCATATATGTCTTCGCAGCTGAACGTTTAACTAAGTCGGGTTTCATCCTCTGTTGTGGACACATCTGCCCTGGAATGAGGCTGATCGCTGTCCGTGGTCCTGAAATCCACGATCCAGCGGGCTGGCTCACAGCAAGCATTGCGCCGCCACTACTTTTCACTGTTTGCTCTGCTCTTAAAGTACCCCCACATAGCCTGTGCTCACTATAAAATAATCACATGTATTCATTACTGCATTAAACTTTATTGCCTGAGGATGTAATTTAATAATGGCCAAAGCCTCAGAGACTTTAAAACAGCAGAACCAATATATCTCGGCTGTATGTTGCATACACACACGGTGATACAATAACAAACAGTATCCAGTCGGTCCATTAGCACATTGATGCATTTCTCTAAATATCCTGCAGTCCTTTGGCTAGGCTTGTGCTTACTGCATGTTGCCTCTCAGTCTGAGCTAACAAACGCGTCTCAGCTTACCCCTGTGGAGCCAAGCGTCTCCCCTCTCTATCTCAACAATCTACACTCCCATGTCATTCAACGGTATTCACTTTCCTGTCAGCTTTACCCCAGGGCTACTCATTACACATTTTGTGCTCACTGATGTGTTGAATAGGCCTGAGAGCTACGGGCTTAGCTTGTGTTATTAGCAGAGGGATGCTACAGGTTTTGTTGTTGAAAGGATTAATAGCATAGCATGCAAACAGTCCAAGAAAAAAAGGAGATGATAAATGTTCCTATCCTCTGTAATTCACAATATTATTGGAAAAAGGAAGCTTTACTAAGCATTAATGTACGCGTAACTAAGACAAAAGGCTCAGGTAGATGTTAAAGCGTGTGATGCTGATGCGATTGGGGTTTTTTTAGCGTTTGTTCAGAAAATGTGTTGGAGTGTCAAAGTGAATATGAATGATTCAAGCAGAAACAATAACACAAATGAGTTGTTTTTCAGGGACATTGCACATTTATCTGAAGCTCTATAAATGTGTTAATTTCAGCCAAAAGAAAATTTTCAACTGTCGCCAGATGTTGGTTTGTTCTCTAAAAATACAAAGATTAATGGATGAAGGTGGAGTTGAAGTGGATTTTGGAACTATCCAGATATTAAAGTCTTCGTTTCCAGTTAGGTTTATCTGTTAGACAGATAGATAATAACACCTATCTTTGTCTGTTTTCTTTCTTCCAGACCATCAGAATCTGACGCACAGCAGCGTTCCCAGCAGGTAGGAGCCTCCAGGGGCCCAACAGGTCTTAGCAAAAGCCGAACTGTTGACGCCTTCAACCAGGGTCCACTCGGAAAGCCCACACCAGGCCGCAGCCCTTCGTCTCTCAGCCTTTTTGAATCAAGATTCCGGCAGGAGCCAAAAGACCCTGAGACCAAGTCATCCGGCATGTTTGGCTCCAGTTTTCTCAGCGGGGCCAACCCCCTCAGCGCTGTATCTTCTATGACTTCGTCTGTCTCCTCCTCCATATCCTCCATGGGTGATACCGTCAACATGCCCAAATTTGGACTGTTTGGGGATGAAGAGGAGGAAGGCTTGCCTGCAGCTTCTGAGTCCAAGCAGGGAGGGAAGCCACAAGGGAAAGGCCCACAGCAAGGGCCAGGTCCGAAGGGACCACAGCAGGGAGGACCCCAGAAACAGAGTCAGGGCCCTCCTGGACAGGGAGCAAAGCCAGGACAAGGACCCCCTGGTCAAGGACCCAGACAAGTTCAGGGACCACCAGGCCAAGGGCCAAAAGCAGGCCAACGTCCTCCTGGCCAAGCACCACCAGGGCATCAGGCCCCCAGACCAGGTCAGGGACCACCGGGTCAAGGAACCAAACAGGGAGCCCCTCTCCAACAAAAAGGTGGTCTGCCACCACAGCAACAACAACAACAAGGACCTGGGAAACCTGGACCCAAACAGCAAGTGCCACAAGGGCCTGGTGCACATCCTGAAGCCCCAGGAAAGACTGCTGGGCCCCCTATTAAGCAGGGAACTGGAAAGCCTGCAGCTGGGATCTGCCCACTATGTAAAACCACCCAGCTGAACGTTGGATCTAAGGATCCACCTAATTACAATAACTGCACTGAGTGTAAGAACCAGGTCTGCAGCCTGTGTGGATTCAGCCCCCCAGACTCAGCGGTAAGACACGACTGTTCATTCTTTTCTTTTTTTATTAATTTTTTTTCCTCGAACCCCTTTCTTGTCATGAAGACTTTAAAAGCGTTATCACACCTTGTATAACATCCCAAATGATTCATTTCATGTCAGCACCCACAGATCTGTGCTTTCCAGACATCTAAAGGTAAAAAAAACATGTATAATTCCTATGTTAGTATACTGGCATTTAACTAATATTACACAATCTAGTTTATGTTATGATGACAGTGTGTGGAAAAGGCCAAGTATCATTCGATTTTATGTCAGTGAAACATCAGTTTTTCTGGGGTTTTTATATATAATCTGCCAGTAGGAAGACTTCTTGGCTCTGCATTTAAATCACCATAAAATGACTAGTCAAACCGATTTGTAAACAATGGAAGTTAGCGTCCTCATCCTAAATAGACCAACAAAGAAAAAATGATTGCAGCATAAAAAAGAAGTCAAGATAACTAGCCAAGGTGCACATCTTTGCGCTGAAGCTGAATTCAGCGCTCGCCTGTTAACAGCATATCGCTGTTCCATGAGCCTGGCAGAAGGAGCGCATTTAATAAGAGTTGCAGACGATTTGAGGAACAGAGGGACCATATGGACCCAGGGAATGTTGATCAAGGTGACTCATGTCATGGCCACAGGAAGATACTGTGCCAGCCGTGAGGACACTCAGTCACACATGGACTGTAAACGCTAGTAGGCCATGATTATAGCAGAGCAGAATGGCTGGTTCCGTCTGCTCGAGTTTCTTCTTGGGATCGGCTGATGTGCGTAATAACACTGGGGATAGTTCAGAAGGCACATTTTTAAAACAAGAGGCTTTGATTTTTGGGTGCATGTTTAGACAGACACTAGGCCTTTAAAATATCCCCAAATATGCAAAGGGGGAAGTCCACCAAGGGTGTATACAACTCTTAGAGCGTGCTTCTATCGCTGCAAGTGGCAGCTGATACAATAATATATCAGCACCTACGTTTATTACTCTTATCTGCAACAGACTCTACACAGCTTTGCCATTTATACTTGGGTTGTTCTTCGAAAGCCAGCGTATTTGCATATGTTGGACGGATTGATCTGTTTACATTTACGCAATAAATAGGCGACCATTACACACAAAAATACGCACACTGCTCTACGCTACAAATACAAATACACATTCTTCTAGATAGCGATCAGCCTGTCAGCACTGACCCTTTTGAACACTGTACTTTGCACACAGTGGAAACCAAGGAGATAGCCAAACACTGAACAAAGAGCTCTCTGCTGTAAACCCAGCTTTTTTAAGAACAGGTGTTGATAACTCCTGTATGGTGTAAACAAAGGCAACAAAAGACAGCCAGTTATCATCAACATATAGACCACCTGTAATAAAGCTACTATAACCTGGCATTGATGCATGAATAGTATTTGCTTTTTTTGACTGATTAGTATTTGTGTAAATGTTGTTGATGAAAAAACAGGAATTAGCATCATTTGAGATGCAAATTATTTGGTTGTGTCTTTTATTTGCGATTAAAGTTAGTTATTGGGCATATACTGTACTTACACTTGTCACTGGTGCATCTAACTAATGCTTTGTTTGTATCTTTTCTTTCATGCACAGGGTAAAGAGTGGCTGTGTCTGAACTGTCAGATGCAGCGAGCCATGGGAGGAATGGATCCCCCTGGTGTGACGAAGCCCAAGCAAGGCTCCGCCCCACCCTCTCCTCAGAGACAGGCATCGGGAAAACCTGGAAAGCTCCTGATAAAACAGCAAAGCACCTCCGACCAAGGGTTAACACCACCAACCACACCAAGGCAGAAATCCCCAGGTCCTACCTCTCCAGGACCACTTTCACCAGGCTCCTCAGTCGCGGGATCCCCCAAAATCGACCCCAAGACAGGTCGCCCCATTATTCAGAAGTCCAGTCCTCAGCAGTCCCCAGCTAAACCCAAGCAGGAATCAAGCTTCTTTGGAGGGTTGGGAGGTATCAGTTTAGGGGGGCTCACAGATGCAGCTAAGCCACCAGCAGCTGCTTCACACGCTGCTGAGTCAGTCACGGGAAAACTGTTTAGTGGGTTTGGTGGGTTGATGGAGTCGTCGAAGCCTCAGGCCCAGGCTGCTCCAAAACAGGAGGAATCTGTTGCTGGGAAGTTGTTTGGAGGTTTTGGAGGCTTGACAGAGTCCACTAAACCTCCTGCAGCCACATCTCAAATGTTTAGCTTTGGATCATCCCTCTTGAGCTCAGCCACCAGTCTTGTCACGGGAGAGGAAGATAAAGCAAAGGGTTCACCTCCTGGGTCACCACCTGACTCCCCTGCAGACTCTGGTCCCGGTTCACCACCTGACTCCCCCCTCTCTGGCCCTGGCTCTCCCCCTGATTCAGACTCTGCTCCTGAAACACCGCCCCCTAAGACCAAGAAACCCCCCAGAACCATTTCTGTGGAGCGGGAAGAGAAAGCCCCCGAAACCAAACCCGTGCCCACTTCAGCTCCAGCGACGAAGGAAAACTGCCCTCTGTGTAATGTGGAGCTAAACGTTGGCTCGACAGACACGCCCAACTACAGCCTCTGCACCGAGTGCAAGAAGACAGTGTGCAATCTGTGTGGATTCAATCCTACTCCTCACTTAGGAGAGGTAAGAAACCCTTATCATTGTTGCTGTTTTCTTACGCCCCTACAGCTTCCTGCGCTCTCAGCACCGTGCACCTACTGCTAATTTATGCATTCTGGTGTATATAAATAGAACACAAACATCCTCTAGATGTTTCGTTGAAATAGGTCACAGTAGAAATACAATTAGGACTATTCAGTTGAACGTTTTCCCCACTAGCATCTCGCAAAAATACCCTTTATTTCTTCTTTTAAGTCTATTAGTTTGACTCAGATAGACAGTGTAATGGCATCTGCACATATTTGACTGCTGAATTAATGGATGTGGTCAATTATGCAGCGTTTAAAAAAATCTGTAAGCCTCATTACTGTCAAGCTTTCTTTAGCTGAGAGCGCGGCCAGACACGTGAAGATAAATAGCTTTTTTGGAGGACTCATCATCAAAGAGCACTTGACTGAACACTGTGTGTCTGTATATGTGTGTATTTGGCTGTGTGCGCTTGTGTGGTCATGTGTAGCGAATGCACGCTTTCCTTTATATAGAGCAGTCTTTAATTGTGAAACTGGATACATGCGACTTGGTAAATCTGTAAATGCCAATGCTTATTTGTCTGCTTTTCTGCATGTGAAAGCATCTCCAACCAGTCACTTCCAGCCTGGTTATCTATCAAGGTGCGGGGACAGGTTTGCTGGTGTTTTCCATGTGTTGTTCCATGTGGAAGCAGCACTGTGAGACCGTGCTTTGAGTTCCACACAGCAGATGGTACTCTGTGGTGTTGAATCAGTATATAATGGGAACAGAGGCCAAAAAGTGCTTTTGGTTGAGCAGTTTCCCAGCATGCAGGCAAAGCATAGTCACGTATGCTGCACCCACGTGAACATGTGAATTGTCCCAATTTTGTTTATAGCGTATCTGAGTCACATCTCACAATTAGATCAAACATCCATTGAGAACTAAAGTATAACATAACTAAAGCTAGTGGTCACTTGGGATGGCTAATATCCTCTTGACATGGTCATGCCACTCAGAGCGCAAACACGTGTTTGCCAGGCCGAAGCCGTATCCTGGTTTCACGTGATAACTGCTTTGTTAGGTCAAGGTTTGGTAATCTGCTGTGTATTTCTGGCTCTAAGCTGAGAATGAGCTTGTGAACGCTGCCAGTTCAGAGGCAGTTTGACATTATGAAAAATATCCTTATTCCCATTTTCCCATTCCGCTTTCATATATGTCTGTTAAAGAAAATGCTACAGCCAGCAATCCCAGGAGTCTCCTGGAGTTTGGCACACAAACAACCTTTAAACAGGGAGTTTCTGTGTTTACACTCAAGTTTTTGCACCCACCCCTCACTCCCATGTCTGGCAGTCCAGTGACGAGAGTCCACAAGCAGGTCACGGTCACATCTACACTCCCCTTTTATATATGACCACTATTAGTTTACAGTGGTGACAGGACTATTAAAGTTTTTGTACTGTTGTCGTCTTCTGAAGCTCGGATTTTTTTTAATTGCACATGCTTGCTGGGAGACTGAGGAGCTGAATCACTTAATTGAGGCCAAGCATGGAGGGGGAAATGTAATTACAAAGGCGAGATGGGCATTCAAGCCACTGATGCTCTAATTGGACATAGATTAGTCCTCTTAACATCCTCTTTTCTTGAAGCCTGACTCCGTTTTGTTTTTAGGACAGGCGTAGCTAGAAATTCTTACGGGAAGGGATGACTATTTCTTTCTCTTGCAGGGCTGAATAAGACACATACGTTGAATAAAAATGAAAGGTTCTGACTGAAGTTGTGACCAAGCTTTTGAAGGTTTGGCATAAAAGACACGCACACACACATACACACACACGGCACCTAGGTTGAGTCATCTGCCCCCTACGTAGTACGCCTCACTTGTGTGTCATTCGCTGCCATAATGTCGGCTGTCAGCGAGGGTTTAGTTGCTGACGTGAGTGGTGCAGAGTGTGTGGTGAGTGTGTGTACGTGTGTGTGGGAGGGGACAGTTTGTTTAATTTGTGAGAATGTCGAGCTATTGACATTTGGCTGAGTAGGCTCAGGTGAGCCTTCACACTTCAGGAGAGTTGCTTCTTTTAGTGTGTTTTTGTTCTCACGGTGTGCATGTGCAAGGATTAGAAATAAGGCATTTCAGGGTCTGTTTGCTAAAAATGTGTCATTTTGTTGAAATATTGAAGGGTGAGCGTCCATCTGACTGTAATGTGTCAGCATGTGTAGCCATAATCTCTGTGTCCTGAAAGGATTTAAAGGGCAACAGGAAGTCTGCCATTTCTGTTGAGGCGTGAGCCCCGACTCAGGTGTTTCTGCTTAATCCCATCAATATGAGTTGTGAAAATAGCCACCCTGGAAGGAAAGGCACTCACCTTAATGTGTTTTCTCTGTTGCTTGCTTTCTTTCAAACGCAGCTCCCTTCCTTGCATTTTTGTCCTATTTTCTCTGTCTTTTTTGTATTTCCCACTCTTTTGTATTTTTGGTCTTATCCTTATAAGACAAAGAACGACTTTCCTAATACCTGCATTTTTAAAGACAGTGTATTCTCTATGAGAACCCTCCCTGAACAGTGCTATCCCCCTGCTTTTACCAATGGGGCCCCCTTTGAAGTAGGGAAAGTAGACAAAATGGCGCCGGTGAGGTCGGCTGCCGTGCTGGATGCTCTGCCCTAACTTCTCCACTTTTTCGTCACTTTTTGCTATATCTGCGATAATCTTGCATGGGCATCATGCAAAAGACACAAATCCGCTACAGTAGAGACACTTTGGTTTCTATTGGTCTGCAGTACACGAACATTTCACCATGTTTAACTCCGGACCCAACCTGGCCAAAGGAGATCCTGAGAGAGAACAAAGGACGCGACCCTAAGCGACGGCCTCGAGGTAAAAGAGCCGGCATCAGGAACAGGCTACGGGCTCACGCACACCGCGCACCCATGCCCAGTATCCTGCTAGCCAATGTTCAATCCATCGAGAACAAGCTTGATGACCTCAGAGCCAGAATCAAGTTCCAGAGAGACATTCGGGACTGCAACCTCCTCTGCTTCACCGAGACTTGGCTGAACCCAGCGATACCAGACCACGCCGTGCAGCCGACGGGGCTCTTTTCGGTTTACCGCATGGATAGGACAATGGAGTCGGGGAAGAAAAGAGGTGGTGGAGTGTGTTTGATGGTGAACAACAGATGGTGCGACAGCACAAACATCTCCCCACTCACACGCTCTTGCTCGCCCAATCTGGAGCTTTTATCGTTAAGTGTCGCCCTTTCTATCTCCCTCGGGAATTCACTGCGGTCATTGCCTGCACTGTTTACATTCCGCCTCACGCGGACTCGGACACTGCCTTATGTGAGCTACATGAGGCTCTCACACATCAACAAACACTTCACCGAGATGCCGCACTCATTGTTATGGGAGATTTTAACAGAGTGAATCTCAAACGGACATTTCACAACCTTCACCAGCACATCAACTGCCCCACCCGGGGCACGAGGACATTAGACCACTGCTACACCCCGTTCAAGAACTGTTACAAGGCTCAACCCCTGCCGGCATTTGGAAAATCGGACCATTCCGCCATCTTCCTCATACCTGCTTACAAACAAAGGCTAAAGCAGCAACCACCAATCAGGAGGGAGGTCGCTCGCTGGACGGACCAATCGGTGGCCGCGCTGCAGGACGCACTGATGACGCAGACTGGGACATGTTTCGGCGCAGCTCTGATGACATCAACATGTTTACGGAAGCGGTTGTGGGATTTATCGGGAAACTAGCGGACGACACAGCAGAAAGAACTATCATCCGAACGTTTCCCAACCAGAAGCCGTGGTGGATAAAACATCCGCGACGCTCTGAGATCACGCCACGCTGCCTACAATGAAGGGCTTGTTCCGGTAATATGGACCTATACAAGGCTGCGTCCTACAACGTGCGCAGCGCGGTCCGAAAGGCAAAGCGGAGCAACGGGGAAAAACTAGAGTCACAGCTACGACAGACTCTAGGAGCCTGTGGAAAGGACTGCGGACTATAACGGACTATAAACGACCAGCTTCTTCAATGATGAATGCCGATGCTTCACTGGCTGATGAGCTGAACACGTTTTATGCTCGCTTCGACGCCGCAGCAATTAAAACAACAAACGGCTGCGCGCGCTCGGAGTGCACCAGTGAAGAAAATGCATTCGTCATCACAGAGCATGCCGTGAGGAACACCTTCAGGAGGGCGAACACCAGGAAGGCAGCAGGACCAGATGCAATCCCTGGCCGGGTCCTTAGAGCCTGCGCTGATCAACTAGCACCGGTGTTCACGGAGATCTTCAACCTCTCCCTGGCCCAAGCTGTGGTTCCCACGTGCTTCAAACGGTCCATTATTGTCCCTGTTCCAAAGAAACAACAGCCCGCTTGCCACAATGACTACCGTCCAGTAGCACTGACTTCAATTGTGATGAAGTGTTTTGAAAGACTGATGAGAGATCACATCACTTCTTCACTTCCTCCCACCATCGACTCACTTCAGTTTGCTTACCGGACTAATCGTTCCACAGACGATGCCATATCTCACCTGCTCCACACATCCCTGAGTCACCTGGACACTGGCAGAGGGAATTATGTTAGGATGCTGTTCGTGGACTACAGTTCAGCATTCAACACAATAATTCCCTCTAAGCTTTTCACCAAGTTGACGGATCTAGGACTCAGCTCATCACTGTGTCAGTGGATCCTCAACTTCCTCACAGACAGACCCCAATCAGTGAGGGTAGGAAAACAAGTCTCCCCCTCCATCTCACTCAGCACTGGAGTGCCTCAGGGCTGTGTTTTAAGCCCCCTGCTGTACTCACTGTACACTTATGACTGTGTAGCCACATCCGACACCACCTCCATTGTCAAGTTTGCTGACGACACTGCTGTTGTGGGCCTGATCTCCGACAACATCGAGACGGCCTACCTGGAGGAGATTAGGAACCTGGAGACCTGGTGCCAGGAGAATAACCTCCTCCTAAACATCAGCAAGACTAAGGAGCTGA